ACGCTCCTTCATCGAATCCGCCGGCCGCGCCGTTCTCAAGCCCACCAGCCTCCGCTCACTCTAGCCCTCCGGCCGTTCCTCACTCTAGCCGCCGCCCTCCGCTCACTCAGCCTGCCAGCTGTTCCTCACTCTAGGCTGTACCAAATACACAAAATAATGTTCTTTTTAGCAACATTATATGACCCCTTTAATAATAATAATAATAATTCATATATAATTAATAAATAATATAATATAACAATTATTCTGTTCAAATTTATTGTATTATGTGAGCTGTACGTTTTTTTTTGGTTCTTTTCAGGTTTATGGTGTTGGGCTGTCAAATGTCAACAAAGTTGTACAACTGGATATAGCTTTAGATAGAAAAGGTTAATAATTCAGTTTGTTTTTTTCCACACTACAGTCATGTTAATACATATTGTTTACACCTTTGGCTACACTGTTGAAACACTGAGCATTTTAATATTTACAGAGTAGCCCCTTTCTCTTCCATTTTAAGTGCCTCAGTGTAAAAATGAATTTTTGTTGTATTAAACATTATACCACAAGCCTCAATTGATATTAACTTATACTGAACCTGGAATGTTTCTTTAATAAAAAACATCTTCTACTAAAGACGTTAAAGACGCAACCAGTAATCTAATCTAAAGAGAAACAGAACCAGATGTAGTTAATGTCGATAGATTCTAGCCACAGCACATATAATTTCCCCGCCTAACACATAAGTAAAATGGCTGGGTGCTGATGGGAAGCTTCAAGTTAAGATTTCTCTGCTAATGTGTTCTATCAGTGACAATATAAGACTCATAATCCCATTGTGCCCTTTCCCAAAAGCTCTCTCAGTGTAATGTAATTTTCAGTGAACTCATTGACCTTCAGCAGGAAGCAATGTTTCATTTTAATCAAACCAAAGCTATAAGTATGAAGGAAACAGTCATCTGAAATTTTCTCTTGTGAGAAATAGAACACGTCTTCATTTCCAGGTTGAGTTACATCTCAGGAAGCCGGCATTGAAGGGCATCAGATCTATGTACCTAATAAGAGAGGTTGTAAATAGCAGTGTGTGGCTTAATGTGTTTGAATGTGACTGCTGAGCCTAAATGGAATCTGCAGACTTTATTTGCATTTTGTGCTGTTTTTTTTGGGCAGGGGGGCACAATTTGGCATAATTCTGACTTAAATGGATAAAGAACTATTACAGGTAATGGAATATTTCTGTTTAGTACTAGTTGAGCTTAGTCAACAGCATTTGTGACACAAGGTTGGTTACCACAATAAAGTCATTTTGACTCACCCCTCATTTTCTTAAAAAAGCAAAACCCAGTGTTACAGTGAGGAACTTACAATGGAAGATCATTGCATTTAATTTTAATTAAGCTTAACATTTTATAAAAGCACTTACATTAATTCCTCTGTTAAAACTTTAAATCTGGTTAAATCATAATTTTACAGTCATTTTAGGGTTTGCGGCATTGTTGTCATAGCAACAAAGCCAGAAAATTGGAAATTTTCCACAGAAAATCTTAGTAAGCAATTTTATGTATTGTGGCTATACTGTTGAAACAGTTTACAGATTGCCCTCCTTTCACATCATTTGTAAGTGCGTCACTATAAACCAGATTTTATTTTTAAAGGAAAGTAATGAAATTCATTTTTGTGGTAATGAAATGCTGTGAATTGAGTTTAACTTGTATTGAACCAGAAATATACTTCTCAGCCCTGAGATTACTGCACTCTTATTGATAGTTGAAATTATAGTAAAATTTGCCAGAATACTGCATAAAAGAGCATGTAATGGACACTCAAATTTGCTAAAATGCTGCATAGATTTTGCATAGAGTTCTGTGTTAACCAATTACATGTGGGTGAAGTTTATTGTCAATGGAGAAATTGATCAGAATATGTGAGGAACTATATACAGTATGTGATGTGTACCAAAGCTTCCATGTTTTTAGAGAGGAACTTACATGGTGCTTGCACACACAATTCTTTATGTATGCATGCATAAATGACTAAATGTAGATGCATATAGTATGTATACGCTTATCCTGAGAACAGCTCACTCACACGCATCCACACAAACTCCTCAGCCCTCTGTTCCTTCAGGCTGTGGAGGCCAGCTGGCTCACACCTTTTTAATCTGAGGTGTGAAGCTTTTATTGGAACTGCTTTCTCAACAACCTATCTGTTAGCCCTTTCTTTCTCTCTCACTCTCTGTTTCTTGGTTTTATACCCTCTCAGCTTCCCGCTTTCACTTCTATCTGTCCGGTTTTTTTTTATGCACAGCTCCCTCTCCTCTATATCTCCCTCCCCTATCTTATCTTCTCTCTCACCAATCTGGCCTTGTTGTCATGGCGACCTCTTGTTTTGCCTCTCTTGCAGCGCATTCCACAAGTCTGTGTCCATGGACAATGTCACTCGCATGCACTCTGCCCAGCACCAAAGAGGCAATGATCTCATGTGACCATTCACAAGGCGTGTGTGACCAGAATGAGGAGTGGGCCACACCCCTCATAGAGTACAACTCAATAGTGCCATTCCAAAATATAGTGAACTGCCTACTACCTACATCCATCCTGATCTGCCTACTGCCTACATTCAGCTTGTTATGGAACAGATTTCGAATGCTGTACATAAAAGAGACTTGGGTTGCAATAGATTTAATTTGAGTTTGACGTTATGATGTTGCTAAGATGACTGCGTGAAGCCTAAAATACATGGCACACACAAATACTGGATAAAATAATACAAATCAATAGTCCAAAATTATTATAAAATAGTTTTTGTTAAGTAATTTAATATTCAAACTAAATATTTGATTATATTATTTATGAATTTTATTTTATTATTCGATTTATTCTTATCATATTCTTTATTAGATTATTTTATTATAATAATAAAAAATACTTTATTTCAATATATTATATTTCAATATTGAGTGAAATATAAATGAACATTTTGTAACAATTTTTTATAATATTAGGTTTAGTTTTTCATTCAGCTCCAATGTTGTTATTGTTAACTAAAACTAAAACTAATTTCTTGTTAATTGAAATAAAACTGAAATAAAATATAAAAATATCTTTTGAAATAAAAAAAACTGAAAAGGATTAAATGAAATGAAAGTTAGAAAAGCTGCCTTGGCAGTTTACTGAAATAAAATAAGTTGAAGTTGAAGTGCTAAAATACGTAAATGTAAATGTAAATAGAAATGTAAAAAAAAACTAAAGACACAAGGTAATAAAAATGACAAAAGCACATAACAAAATTACTAAAACTTAAACTAAAATGAAAAAGGAAATTATAAAAATAAATGTATTAATAAATATTGTAATAGTATCTAAATAATAGTAAAAAAAAAAAAAAACCTGTTTAGTGCAACATGCATTCTGGATTTTTATAATATGTATGTCTACTATATGTAAGTCTGAAATCCTGGTTATTTATTTTAAAAGGTATTTTTTTCATTTGACATTTGTGTTATTATGCATTGGTAACAAGCCTAATATGTATGTGTATTAAAGGGGTCATATGACGTTGCTAAAAATAACATTATTTTGTGTATTTGGTGTAATGCAATGTGTTTATGCGGTTTAAGTTTCAAAAAACACATTATTTTCCACATAATGTACATTATTGTTGCTCCTCTATGCCCCACCTTTCTGAAACGCGTAGATTTTTACAAAGCTCATCATTCTGAAAAACGAGGTGTACGCTGATTGATGCCTAAGGCGGAACCGGGGTTTTAAACCACTCAGAAAGAGCACGAAGTTGTTGCGCTTAGCTCTTACCGTACAGGATTT